ACAACCCATTGAGGATAATTAGCCATGGTGGCTTGTTGCACTGTGTGAACTTAGAATTTAGATGACTGAAAACAAAGTGGCTTGTTTTTTCCAACAACCTACTTTAAAAGCCCTTGGACAGTTGTAGGGAAGACTTAACCATGATGGGTTATCACGCTGTCTGAATAGACTGCTCTGTCTAGCTCTGTCTAAATCTGTTTTCAAAGAAACCGCAGCTGCTGACAGTTGTCAAAATCAAGCATTAGCAAGATGGGATTGTGTATTTTCCACCTTGCTGAGGACCTAGAGTCTCTAGAATGGGTAGGTACGTTGGGGACACTGTACAGAGGGAAATGCAAACTGCTGAAGATCTCACTTTTTGGGAGGAAAAAAATCACCTGTCTCTGTTTGTGAGCAAAGATTGGTTTGACTTGACAGCTGTCGTGTCAAAATCTGTTTGTCTGCCCATCTATCTATCTATGGAGTCTTTCTGGACCAATCTCCTGGGTGTGCACCAACTGCATATGATAGCAGGTACTCCCAGGACTTTGCCCAGGTAAACCTCCCCAGTTTTGGACTTATGGAATAGTACAGCTCTGTAGTTGCAAAAGTTTGGCTGAAAAAATAAAAACAGGCATCTACAAAAAGAATGTGTGCACATTTGACCAAAAGAAGGGGGCATCAGTGATAACCCCTCCCATGTGCCATGGGAGAAGGGTAGGAACACCATGTACACTGTTTTGCATTCCTTGGGAGGAAAATAGACTATACACAATAATGAAATAACGTCTAGGCATGCTGTTATTCTAGTGGCCGCCATTTCTTACTTCCCCTGCCAGGACACATGCATTCATTTTCCATTAAGCTGCCTCCTCCAGCCTGGCACCCTCTGGATGTGTCAAGCTACAACTCCCATATTCTCTCAGTGCTTGGGGATGATGGGAGTTGTCATCCAGATTCATAGGACTCCAGGTTGAGCAAGCAAACCCATCAACAGGAACATCATCCCATTGGGCACATTCAGTTCTCTCCTGCTGCGGGCTGCCTCCTGTCACCAGCTTTTAAAGTTTTGCAAGTTTTTTTGCATTCTTGGCACACACTCCATGCACTTCATCTAGACCAGGGATGCAAACTTTAGGTGTGGGAGCTAAATTTGGTCCTCTGATCTATCAGTCTGACTACCTGGAGCTTCCTAGAAGCAGTTGTCCCACAGACTTCACCCCCTTTCCTCCATAAAGCATTCCTGTTCTATTTTATGTGTGTTCCCTCTCTCTTCTCCATTCTAAAAGGTTGAAATGCCTTTCCTGAGGATTAGTTACCAGCAGTAAGAGTTTTAAGATAAACCCTGCAACTTTGCCTTTTCCCCCTGCTTGTGCCAGAATGGAACTGTCAAAAGGTTTTTGAAAATGTAATTTAGCCTTTGGGCTAAAAGAGGTTCACCACCTCTCACTTAGGCAGAGTTCTTCCCAACCTCTTCATGGTTTGCCAAACCAGTTGTGTTGTACCTGCTGCAATTTTAAATAGCATTCTCACTGTTATAGTTCCTTCTTCACTTTCCATTCTTGAGCATTTTCCACATCTGTATATCAGGCAGGAGATCATGGAGCATCCTTCCCCAACTTCCAGATGTGTTCAACTACAATTCCAAACACATTTGGATGGTGGTAGGTTGGCAAAGTTTGATCCAGATCTAGATGCAATGGAAGGACCACTTCTCTCGCTGGTGGTCTCAGTAATTGTAGGCAGTAGCAGGAGAAAAGTTTCTTATCTCAGCTACAGCTGGAAGTAGACGCCCTGGAGAAATGCCCAGTGGTGGCTGCTTCCTTTCCCTGATTTACAGCTCAGTCTGCAGACCTTAGCAGCTGGTGTTTATCTGAAAAGATTTACCTGGTTTTCTGCATGTGCCAGAAACATGGGCAAGCAAAGATTTATTTCCCCTGCTTAGTTGGCAATCTAGTTAGCAACTGCTCTAGCATTTAAATAAATTAACAAAAAGCAAGTCCTCCCTTATATTTTGGTAACTCTTACTGCAGGTCATTTGAATTCTCTTTCAATTTCTCTTTGTCAATATTTACCTGCTCCATTACTTAATCTATACTCCAATTGTCTTCTAACAGGCCAGCTGCATCACCAGCACTTCTTTTCATGACGTTTTCCCCAGGGTTCTATTGAGAGTTAATGAGCTCTTACCTCCAGTATAAAGGCTGGCCTTGAATTAACACAGACAGGGCTTAGAGAAAAACATCCATCCTGCCTGTTGCAGAGTAAGCTTTAGTTGCTTTCTCTCCATCTGTCACAGCTGTTGGGAAAGGGCCCCAGACTGAGCCGGTGGGCAACGTGGTGGCCAGCCTAGCCACAAGCTGTGGCAGACATCCCATGGCGTGTCTGGGCTGCCATCCCCATGTCCCGCCTGTACTGATGCTACTGCTGCATGGCAGGACTTGCCCGAGTGGCTACCAAGTGCCCAGCACAGCTCTGAGAAAGTGGCACCCAGAGCTGCGTGCCGCACAGCCTGTCCATGCTGTCGCCATTGGCTTCTGTCTGTAGAACAGAATGGGGTGCTCTTTGGTGCTTTGCCCCCAGAAGCAAGGTATCGTGGGTTGGTCTTGCTTTTGTAGAATAGTAGAGTTGGAAGGCCAGTATGTCCAACCCCCTGCTCCAAGTTACAGCATCCCTAACAGCTGCATCTTGAATGTCTCCAATGTGGTAGAGCCCACAACCTCTCTAGGTAATTTGTTCCACTGTTCATTTTGCACTCAGCAAGTTTTTCCTCCTGTTCAACTTGAATCCATTATCCCATGTCCTGCTGCACTCCTGGATGACAGAGAAGAGATCCTTGTCCTCTTCTATATAACTTTTCAAGTATTTGAAGAGCATTATCATATCTCCCCTCAGTCTTCCCAAGGCTAAACATGCCCAGTTCTTCCACTCTCTCTTCATAGGGCTTTGTCTCCAGTCTCTTGTGGTGCCCAGAACTGGATGCAGTATGCAAGATGAAGCCTAACCAGTTTTGAATAGAGGGGAACTAGAGCTGCATGTGATCTGGGTGATGCTTCTACTTGTGCAGCCCAAAATAGTATCTGCCTTTTGATCTACAACAGTTCCAAGATCCTTCTCACTTGTAATATTGTTGAGCCAAGTAACCTCCAGCTTGTATGCATTTGGTTTCTTCAGTTGTGAAGACATTTGGCAGCAGACAAATGAAGAATTTTTTCTAGGTGTAGAGTCTGGCATATGTCCCTGTTAAATTTCATTGTTGTTTTCAGCCCAGCACTCCAGCCTATTAAGATGATGTTGAATTTTATGTCTGCTAAGCATTGCGCTTTAATAAATGCAATGCTGCCTGAACAGATCTGCAGCCAAGGAATCGAGACAATCTTGGTAGGGAGTGGCATGGATCAAATGCTGAGGTTGAAAGAAAAAGATTGCCTACTTACAGGGTCTGGCAAACTACTCACATGGTAGCTTGTGTTCTTAGTAAAGGAGACACAGTAAACATAGGCCAAGGCACAACACAGCAAGGGTGTCCCAGCATTTTAACATTGCCTGGGGAACAGAATTTAACCAAGCTGAGACCTGCAAAGAAATACCCAGTGAGCACATACTAAAAACAGCCCTGCACACACTCCACTTTCAGAAGAAAGTGGTACCAGAAATCAGCTGATCATTTGGCTTCTGTTAAGCTACTGGAGACTAAATGAGTATCTGACAACTTTCCTTGAGTGGGGAACAGCTTGTGAACAATGTCAAGTGGCTCTTGGTCCAGATTCCTAAGCAATCCTCTCTCTCATCTTCCAGATGTTGGTGAAAGGATCCAGCATTTCCTAGTATTGATTAAAAAAAATAGATTGCCAGTTGCAGATGTATCGAAGATTACAGATTGAGTGATACAAAAAGCGCTTCTCTGCTCACTTGCTTGCCAGATCAGAATCTCAAAATAAAAATATGGTGTCTGATATAAGGAAATCTGAAATAAAGCAATTTGCACTCTGTAAGGAGCATCTAAAATAAAGTATCTGTTCTGTGATGTCCTGGAATAAATGGAAACTCTTCAAAATAAAGCATACAAGGCATAGCTGGCCCCCAGATCAAGCACTGGAAACTAGTTGGCTTCTGGATAAAAGTGAAACCAATGTTGTTGCTGTTATGAAAGTTTTCAATCTTGGCTTCAGTATGTCAAGTTGGTGCCCTTTTACTGATTTTTTGGGAGGTAACTGACATGGTTGAAGCCACTAAATAGTCTGGGCATCTATCCATCATGACGATGTGTCATTGAATCACTGTGATGGGCCACAGGCAACTTGGACTAGTTAAGTACAGTGGTGCCTCGTACTCCAGAGTTCAAATGCTACAATCAAAATAAAATTGTTTCAAAGTTTGAACGATGCTTCTAAGTTTAAACTGCATGCACATGAAAAAATGTGGTCACCGTGGAAATGTCGTCTCTTGTGCGCCCAAATTTTTGACCGTTCTCAGTGCCTTTTCAGTGTGTGCCTTTTCAATTGTTCTCAGTGTACTGGTATTGTTTAAGCTTTGGGAACGGATTAATTCACTTTCCATTATTTCTAATAGGGAAAACTGATTTGGACTTTGAACAATTCAGAGTTCAAATGGCCTCCTGAACCTAATTAAGTTCAAGGTACGAGGCACCACTCTATTAATGGGGAAAAGTCATGTAGCAATGTTGCAAAATGGTCATTACTGGGATTCAGCAATGATTCTGCATCAGCCTTGGTACCATAAAAGTAAGTAAAAAATAAAAATGGGAAAATAACCATGTCATATTTAGCCCAGGGTGGAAAGAGAAGGGTAACCCTTCCAGTTAAAACCCTTTGTTCCTACAGCTGTGTTACTGTCCCCGGCCCCCAGTGACAAAACTCCAAACTTGAAAAGCAGAAATATAAGAAATTTCTTCCAGTTATGTTAAATTTCTTCCAGTTATGTTCCAGATAGGAACTAGCACCCTTAAAAGATCCTTTGCTGTAGGAAAACACACATCACTGAAGGATGGGAGACAGCTGGAATCTTTTCTCCTTTTATTTCATCATTTAGGTTCTTTTTATTCCAACAATGCAAATAGGTAAGAACAGCAGGAAACCATGTTTTAAGCAGCATGGATATGCTCATGGCTGACTATAACTACATTCCCCAAGCAATGGAAAAGTAATATATGAACATTGTCCTTTCAGGAAAGGATGGACAGATTTTACTTCAGCCAAGAACTACAGAAGGGAGGTTTCCATTAAAAGTAGCCAGCCTGTCAACATGCTAGAGACAATCACAGTACTTGCTCTTTTCTTTTTAATGCATCTCCTTTTCCACTTGCTATAATTTAAATGCAGTTTCATTTTGCTATCTACAGTATAGATATATAAAATATAGACTCTGTTTTTATCACACATTTTTGTGTTTAAAATATCTATTGTACATAAAATGCCCATGCACTGACATTTTATATAGTCTGATTTTTGTATCTCTTTCTCTGTGCATATATATTTATATATATATATATATATATATATATTTGTAAAACATAATAAATATATATATTAAATACAGCAATAAATGTACACATGGATTCTTTAAGGTTAAAAAAGACAAAGAAAAACAAGGCATAATTCAAGCATCAGCTAAAGTAAGGAGTTGCTGTCAGTCATGGGTGGATAATGGTATGCTGATAAAACACACAAGAGGAAGTACAAACCTAGTTGTCTCCCCACCTCATTCTTTTAAAATCATCTTCACTGCGCTGCCCTTGCTGATGGAGCTAGCAAAGAGGCAGGAAACAAAGACGCCTGGCAGAACTAGACCTGCCCACAATGCAGCTAAGTGATAGGATGACACCAGTAGGCTTGATTGGGATCTTGTTTTTTGTAAGGTGAAAACCATAAAAATCAAACAGGAACTACGTTAGTCATTCAAGTACTTTTTAAGGAATGGTGGCTGGCACCACAACAACATTGATTATCTCTCATCAAATTGTACAGAACAAATTCACACTTTTCAGTAGTGTTTCAGTTCTCAGACTTCCTGAACTTCTCCCATGCATTTGGAATTTATTCTTCCTTCCATGATCTGCTTCATCCACTGCTGTCCCTCTCTTTGGCAGCAGGAAGAGAACAGATAGAGATTTTGTGTACTGCTCTGGGCATCCTTCTGTGCATGAACATCTATAGACTGTGATACGGGATAGTAAAGGTAATTTCAGCAGAACTGTCATCTCATCCCACTCTTTCCTTGTTCTGCCCTGCACTCACCTGTCCTTTGCTCAGGAAGGAGACAGGCTCTGTGAATCTGGGAGAAAAAGAGGTAGCAGAGTCGCCCACGTTGCTGGTCAAGGCATTGACCCAAAGGAGATCACTTAATAATAAGGGCGATGTCCAACAAAGCACAAGTGGGGCTCGCCTTTGGGGCAACAGGAAGGCAAGTGGTTCTTGAAGCAACTGGAAACCAAACAAAATTTGGGACACATCAGAGAGTCTACAGAAGAGAGTTCTGCTGACTGGTCCCATTCCAGACACAGGCATCATGGCTTGTTCCCAGAGTGCCTGTAGAAAGTGTTTGCTTTAGCCACACAGAGCTCAGTCTGATTCCTGAAATTAGTGTAATTCTTGATGTTCTGTATTCAGGGTGCTAATTCAAGCCCTTCAACAAAGTATAGTTTGGCCCTTATTAAACCGTTCACAACTCGCTCGCGCGCTCTCTCTCGGTATTAGACCAGCTTTTTGTTAATATCCAGTTTAGAGCAATGATGAATGACAAAGCACATTATAAAGTCAATTTGACTTGTCATTCTTACTCCCAAAATAATCATGGGAACAGTGGTTTTGTGAGGATACTACGTGTCTCTTAGTATATTGTCAGCAGCCTTACAAAACAACAGATCCCAATAATGACGGGAAGCAGCAACTCAAGAGATCACTCCTGTCTCTTTAAGAACTCCAGGCTTGTTCTAGCAGGTAAGTGTGGCAATGAGACACCATGTGTATTGTGAGGCAGTAGAGACAGTTAAACTTCCTTCTTCTCAACTACAGGGCTGTCAAGAGGACAAGAAAGTTCTCTGGGCCTTGACCTGGTAGCACTACACTGCAGGGCAAAATTATGGCTATGCTTTAACCATCACCTATGGCAGCCTTCCACAAGCTGGTGCCATCTAGATGTGCCAGATTACACTGCCCAGGATCTCCACGTGGTCATGCTAGCTGGGATGATAAGAGCTGCAGTCCAAAATCTCTGGAAGACCCCAGGTTGGCAGAGGCTGATCTAGGCTGTAGGCAGTCTTGCCCCAACTTCAACAGTAGCTTAGAATTGGCTACATTTCCATTCTAGCAAACAAGCATCCATTATCACAGCTTATTGTCCTAGTCTTTTTGCATCGGAGGAACCTGCACTGTCACATGCTTCTTTTGACAGGAGAGAGGAGATCGTTAAGTGCTCAACGAACTTTTAAAATTGATGTGATCTCTCATGTATGAGGGTGCATGGGAACATCTCACTAGGTTCAAGCAGAACTCCTCAGCCCAACTCTTGTCACTAGGAAACAAAGAGTAAGACTACAATAACATGGAAAACTGCAGCATGAGACACGTGTGATGAAACAGCCATGAAGTTCGCCTCCATAACAAGAGATGGCTGTTAGTCTTAGACACACAAAAAGTATCATTCACAAAAATTTAGCCTTTGGGGTAAACCATGCTTTGTTTTGTACAATTTCAACACAAAACATGTTAGGTTTGGTTGAAACCAGTACTTTTTTGAATTCTGTTCTAGTCTGGACTCTTAAAAACAAGTCCCAAAATCAGAAATTGGTCACATGGCACCTTAAAAACTAACAAAGGTAATGACACCATGAATTTTTGTAGACTAGACCCACTTTGTCAGATACTTCATGTGCCTAATGAAAGGAAGCTCCAGTGTATGAAAGGCATCAAAGGATGCACTGCTGGTATTCTCATGGAAGATTAACATGGCTATCCCTCTGAAATTTATCGACAGTCTTACAACACGAGAGAAGTTGGCCATGCTGCAGGTAATTTACACACATTTTTCTCTCTCTACAGTTCCTTGTACTTTCTACTGAAGCCGAGCATGAATGACTGGAATCTGATGTGAAATATGCTGCAATTCTGGAGCACCCTGAATTTTAAAATTCAAATGTTTCTATTTATGTTACATTAAAAGAAAAAGTTCAAAGACAACATTTACTGTTCATATTGGCTATGAAAACCAAGCTTCCCATTTTTCCCCAAATCAAATGACATATGCATGCCAAGTGTTCTTATTCTGCTTATTAGGCAATGCAGATGCAACAGGTTACTGAATGTAAGAGGACTCAAATAGAATGCTCTTCTCAGTTGGCTTGCTATGACGTGTTCATGTCAGAAGCCACCAGCTTTTTTTTTTTTGCCACAAGGGGCTTCCTGACAGTTCAACATCTTTGCAGCCTGCTGGTTGGTGAATAATGTCCAAATAGACCTTTCAGAACCTTTTTTTAATGATCAATGCAGCTGAATCAACTATACACCCGCAGCTTATAAACAGAGTCTGTTTTACCCTCCTATAATGCTTTTTTTGAAAACAGTTAACGCAAAGGTCTTGGAACAGCAATCTGTCACAAGTGTTTCAAATACAGCTGATAGTTCAAGCATCACGTAGGCAATGTGGCTTCAACAGCCTTGATTATTTCCTATATTGTCTTCCTCATTCAAGGCCTGACTGGAGTGCCATCTTTTCTGTCAGGAAAGAACTGCCTTGATTCACTGCTCTTCCCCCGAGAGATGTGCCAGAGAGGCTAGCAGTACAGAGACATCCTACTTCTGCGCATTGCTTCACTGATCAAGTATGCAGGGCTTAGTTCTGGTTCCTCAGTCATAATCACAATGTTCTGCCATTCACCCAGCTGATTGGATTTTTTAATGGTGTCCACTACACACAACGCATAGAGACAGTCATCAAACGTTGCAGCCATGGTAAGCGGCCGTCCATCCCAGGTCCGCCTATCATCCTGGTCTTCAAACGCCTCCCTGACAGCCTGGACCATCTTGATGGTTCCCCGGAGGTATGGCGCTGGGATGTCACTGAAGGCCTTCTCGGGCAACAAGGCATTACTAACCGGTGTGGAATCCTTCAAAATGAGCTCCTTTTGTGGGGAGTTATTGCTCTGTCCATACAAATCAGTGCCTATTACAATCAGCCTCCCACTGGAACCTACTACAACAATATCTTGCTTAAATTCTCCAGGCACATTGAAGTTGAGGGTAACAGTGCAGCACACCCCGCCTTCCAAGACCATCTGAAAGGTACAAAAGTCATCACTTGTGATCTGGCGTATGCCTCTGATGTGATCGGTCTGCTTCACAAAGGTCTTCAGCAGTCCATGCACTTTCACAGCCTTCTGGCTAGTGAGGAAGGTCAAGAGGTCAATGATGTAGGTACCAACAGAGTGCAGACCGCCACCTCCCATCAAATCATCACAGCTCCAGTTGTATTTCTTCCCCAGCAGGCTCCCACTGTGAACCTGTACCTCACACACAAGCAGCTCTCCGACGTAGCCCTCTTGAATCAGCTGCTTCATCTTCACGAAGGCAGGCAAGAAGCGGAGAACATTACCCATGACGCTCATAAGCTTGGGATAATAGTGGGCCGCTGTCATCATCCTGAAGGCATCTAATGGGGTGGCGGTTCTGTCGCAAATGACATTCTTCCCAATCCCTGCCAAACATTTAGAAGAAAGAGAAAGAATGTATCAGGCAATGACTTTTCATGATTATATGTCTAGGAATCCAGTAAGATTGATAAAGGAAGGAGTCTTATGAACAATAATTTACACAGGGTATCTCATACACCCACAATCTTTGTTTTCTGTAAGCATGCCTTCCCCTGGAAAACACAATTAAATGTGCAATCTTATGCATGTTTAGACAGAAAGGGAGTTTACAACTCTAGTTGCAGGGTTTTTCCTGGTCTAAATATGCATAGGAGTTTTGTTTCATTTACACAGTGTGAATGGCTTAGTGTCTTGGTGCACAAGGAATTATATTCTCATTTTGAAAAAGGAAGACAGTGAAACTCTTATCACTCTAAGGCCAGAATACATTTTCTATGCCGAATTATCATTGGGAATAAAGATAAGGCAAATATTATTATCTATTAGTGTTTGTAAATCATTCTGAGTTTGTATCCTCTTATATATGCATATTCCAAGCACATTCATCTGTACTATTTATAAGGTTCTACCTGCACCAACAAGAGTTCAGTCCACCTATATACCTATAGGATCCAAATGTTTATTATCTCCTGCAACGGTACCAGAAGATGGATTATAACCTTCAAAGGAACAAGATACTGTGCTGGACCTTGAGATTCCTGTGGACAGGTGATGTCATGCAGTTGGATATTATCTCAGTTCTAATAATCTAGGCCTTCATATGCACAATGTATATCCAGTGAACATCCATATTTCCACGTAGTTGCCACATTCTTCAGAAGGCTGAATGTTGATTTACACTGACTGGATTTGCATGACACCACAACCCACCATGGGTGGCTATATCATTCCACACTTGTTTCCCACAGGATGGCTTTTTTCTCCCAGCAAGCCACCCTAAGAGCCCATGGGCTGCTCTGTGGGTTGCTCAACCTATGACAAGTTGGTGTGTTGCCCAAATCCAGGCAATCAACCCCACCATGTGTTGATGGGAGTTGTAAGTAAGATGCTTGGCAAGAACAAAAAGCCCCATTGTTCTTGGCAATCTTCTGGTGCTACCACTGGTGACGGCCTTCCAAAGTGCCCAAATGGCAGATTGGAAGGACTGTCAGTGGTTGGCCACCTATTTTTGTTAAATAATAATGCTGGGCAGCAAGGTTCAAACCCCTCCCCACACTTGGCCATTTAATTCACTGGGTGACCTTGGGTCAACACTGGCTCCCATCCCAGTGTACCTCTCACCAAGTTGTTATGAAGTTAAGAGGTGACAAGGAGGACCATGTGGGCTGCCTTGGGTTCCTTGCAGGAGGAAGAAAAGTGGGATAAAAAGGTAATAATAAACAAATAACCAACAGGAACTTATTGTCAGGGTGGAGTGGTGTGTCATGTGAATTAAGTGAAACAGTTTACATGAAATTTCTAAAACCCCTTTGTAATATTCCATTTAGTCACAGACACAGAAGTGTCACATGCAAGAGCAGGCATAATCACAACAAATGAGTCAATTCAAGAGGAGTAGTTACAATGAACAGTGCAATGCTTATATATCAGCATGTATTTTGCTTTCCCAATAAGGTTACCAGAGGGCCCTTATTTTCAAACAGGAGTGGGGTATTTGTGATTTCCCATCTTTCACTGGATTACAGCTCCCACCATCCATGGTCACAGGCCATGTTGTGATTCCATGGATCAGGGGTGAGATGCTGCTGGACGACAACTCCCATGAACCCAAGCGAACACAGATAATAGCAAGAGGTGACAGAAACTGCAGTCCACCAACTGCTACAGAACAATGCTTCTAAACCATGGAATTCTTTGGAAGTTGGTCATGGGTTCCTGAAGAAAAAATGGGTAATGAAAGCCAAGTTTATTTCCTTAAAGGGAAGTAAGGACCCACAGTTAGCAATGTGTAGTCGTCGTTCATTCCGAAGAGGGAATTAGGGGAAATGTAGTAAGTTTGGCCAAAGCTTTGTATGATTCATAAAGCTTGCACCTGCCATCTTTTCCAGTAATCTGGGATTCTGAGCCTGAAGGCAGAATTCCTCAGCAGAAAATTCTGCTGGGGAAGAAACTGGTTGAAGGCAACAGAACTGAAGTACATGGTGTACTTCAAAATATTCTCTGCTCTGCAGAAGAAGACTCCCTGATTTTTTTATTATTTTGATCTTGGAACGACAGGCACATTTATCTTCCACTGGATGCCTTCTTTAAATGAACAGATTGCCTGTGAAGACACACTTCTGAACCTTTGCCACTGAAAACCAACTATCTCCTACTGTGTCTATTTGATTCATATAAAATTAGGGTTGTTTGATTTCACAGAGTGAATTCATAGAGCTGACCTACATTCCTTTAATAGGTAACATTCCAGCTGTACCTTGAGCTGCAGAACCATTCAGTGTAAAACTGTGATTTATTTAACAAGCTTTCACCAATGGAATACATGCTTTTTCTCTGCAGGGCTCTAAGGCTTGCAAACAGCTAGAAATGCAGAAATGCATCTTCTCTGAGCCCAAAAGGCACATACAAATATTCATATGCTCAGAAGCAGAAAATGCATCAGTCACAAATGCCGTTTCCCTCTCAAAATCTCCTGCCCCTTTTCTCTCTGAAGAAGCCTGAACATTCCTAATTAATCTTTACCTGTCAGTGCTAGAGCTAACTCTTAGGCTGGGTTCACATTTAAGAAAAACTCACCATGGGTGAATTTCTCCACAGGGCTTTTGTTACATGGGCCCTTTTAAATATTCAAGCATGACTGTAGCTTCTTGTTACATGTGAAGCCAACAAGGGTGGGTTGTTGTGGGGTTGACAAGTACGGCACTGCAGGTGCCTTCTTAACCACCCCAACAAGCCACTCTCACAATGCTCACATGTAACAACAAGCTATGGCACCTCTCTAATATGGCTCACATTCAAAGCAGCAGCTACAACAAAAAGCCTTGTGGGAAAATTCACCCACAGTGGCTTCTCTTTACATGCAAGCCTGGTCTTAATCTCATTTACTGCATCTACTGTTTCTCCCTTGCTCCTCTCTTTTCTCCTTTTCAGCCTGGGCTGCAGTTTTTTGAGTTCCTGCAACTTCTAGTGGCACAACTGCCATTTCCCAGTTCCTGCCCCAAAGTCTTGTATTTGTAAAGAAAAGAAATGGAGCAGTTAAAAGATGTACACATGGAAACCTTCTGCTTTAGAAACCTGCTCCTTGGTCCCAGATGTAGAACAGTTGTCTCTACTCGCCGTAAAGAAAAATTATCTTTGCACATGTTCTCTGCACTCCTGTTTTTCTTTCTGTCTTTCTCATCGACCATTACATAGAAAGCTGCTTTATGGCTAGAGTGGCCATTTCCATGTCACTGAAAAAAGACTATGTCAACACTGCCTCTAAAAAAGCAAGGATACTGTTTTGTGTAACATCTGCATATGCTCACTTACATGAATGGATGCAAATTTAGAAACAATTACTACAGCTTAAATAGAAATGAAATAAATCTCATTTTCGTGGCAGAGATAACCTGCCTGCTCACTCTGTTTTCCAGGTGCTACTGGTGAGTGGGCAACTTCAAGGCCCTTTGAGATTCTTTAATATGCACTTGGACATGACTTGGCCCTTCAAATAGACGATGCCTTCAAATAAAGGAGAGTCTTCTGCTGGTCCTGCAAATACAGGATTGTTCTCTGTAAAGGAAGCCTTGCAGACACCCATGCATGTCAGATCAGACAATTTCTCCATGTATCAAGACTGGCCACAGCTCTCTGGGGTCTCAGGAGAGGTCCTTCCCAACATGCATGCAAAGCATGCGTCCTACCACTGAGTCATGATCCCTCAGAACAGGTTCCCAGTCTATCAGTTAGATCTGGAGCACCTGGCTTTTTCCCCTTCCAAGATCTGTTTTGTACATTCCTGGGGCTGGGAGGAAAAATGGAACGAATGACAGATCAAGTCTATATTGTACATCTGGAACATATGCATATTCATTAGATTAATTTTTAACTACATTCCCTTTACTTTTGTAAATTGCTCAGGAATTTCTACTGATGTTGCCCAAGAGCCTCATTTAGGCCCTCTCCTGTTAAAGGCAAACAAGACTTATCAACTATTGTGAGAATCTAAGTAGGTAAGGTTCTAGAAATTAATGTTTCATTTATTGCAAAGGCCTATTAGCCATTGCTGGTGGATGAATAAAAGTGATAGAGCAAAACCTTAATTTATTTGCCAACAAGAATGATCTAGACTCATGCCTGTCTTGGTTTTGACTAAGTCAGCTATAAGTCTTGGTCAGCTTTGGTGGCCCTGATACATGATGATTATTCAGAAAGGGTCAGGGCCAGTTAATTCTTCTTGATCACTCATTGGCTTGTTATACCATTTATTATTATATATTTTGCACTGACTTTGCGGGTTGGAAATGGCAGGCATTCAGTTACTGTGCTTTCAGTCTTACCAGACAATCTTACAGTGAGGTCAATGTCAGAATCTAACATTGAGTTATTCCTCCTTGAACCCCTAGCAATTAAGCAATGAAGGTTTGCAGGTAATATCTAGTCCTCAAAGTTGTTGCTGGGAGCAGTCATGAGGGGAACTGGAATCAAGTGCTATCAATATGCTGATGACAAACAGCTCTTTCTCCCTGTGACTTCTGAGTGAGGTGAGGCTGTGCAAGTCCTGGATCAGTGCCCAAACTCAGTAATGGGCTGGATGAGAGCCAGTAAACTGATGAAGCTGAATCCTGGCATGCCAGAAACCCTATGCGTGAGTGGTTTCCAAATGCAAGAGATAAGATTGTTTTGGATAGGGTTGCACTCCATCTGAAAGATCAAGCTTTGTGGACTGGGGATACTCCTAGGTCCATCACTGTTCCTGGACTCCTAAGTGGCTAAGGCAGCTCAGACTGCCTTTTCCTGTTATCAGCTGCTTCAGTGGTCACAGCATCTCCCAGACAGGGATAGCTTGGCCACCATGACACAGGTGCTGGTACCCTCAAGGTTGGGTTGCTGCAATGCACTT